AAAAAAGCCAACATGTACTGAGCAGGCAAGATAGCTTAGAGGGTTTCAAAAGCACTTGCTTATGCCAATTTGACAATCTGAGTTCAATGCCCAGAACCCACATAAAGGTAGAAGGAGAGAACCAACTCCACAAAGCTGTCCTCTGATAATGAACAGGCCTGCACACAAGCACTGATAATTAGTGTATGCACACATACACTAATAATAATATATATGACATTCTTCAAGAACTTTATTTGGATTAACTGACTTAGTCCTCATCACAGCACCTTCAGGGGAGTGCTGCTGCATATGCACTTGACAGATGCAGAAACAGGTGCACAGACCTTGTGTTACTTGCCCCACATCTCATCAACTGTGTCTCAGTCTGTTCAGGTTGCTATGACAAAATACCATAAACTGGGTGCCTTACAAACAACAAACCTTTGTGCCTCACAGTCCTGGAGACTGGGAAGTCCAAGTTCAAGGACTGAAGACTTGGCAGTGAGGCCTGTGTCCTCACTGCCTTCTCATTGTCAGCCCATGAGGTGGCAAGTGAGGGAGGGAGGATCACGCTTAGATCTAGGAGACATAAGACTTCAGACTTAGGAACTGAAGGCAGAGGGACTGGCCTGTCTGCTATAGCGTACTGGCTTCGCTGTTTCTTGACTTGACTAGAGGACCACGACGTCCTCCCTTTTCTGTCCTTCTGCTCCATTAGAGTTCAAACTTCCCTGAATTAGAAACTGAGTGGTACACAATTTCATATTCCCAAAGTTTATTCCAGAGTGGGTGCTTCCTGAATTTGAAATGAAATAAAATTTCCTTATGCAAAGACAGTCGCCTCTGAGTATTTAACAGCAAGGGCTCTGATTTGAGATGATGGCATGCTTGAATGTTGTGGACCTAGACATCATCTCACATGGACGATGCTCAGCCCGACTGGGGCAAAGCAAAGTCGAGAACAATGCAGACAACAACTGAAAAAAGAAAAGAAAAAGTAAATGAAAGGAAGAGAAGTCAAGTAAAATAGAAAGGGACAGTTTTGGAGCTCTGACTCTAGAGTGTTCTTCATGAATTCGTATGCCAGGAAAGTTCCTGAGGTACTATTAGAGTAGGTCTCAGGACTGAGTGGGCCCACTGACTGTTAACATCAAGACTCCAGTACTTACCGTCACGGCACTGAAGGAAAATGACAAGCTTATAAACACACAGAATGCGCAACTCTGTGGTTATTAGAGGATTCAAACCCAGGAGTGAGTGTGCATTCCATGTTGCCACATCCAGATTCAGCAAGGTTCTGAGGAAGTGGGTGCTTACACCCTGTTAGTTGGATATAGCTTTGGAGTTTCTATGCAAATCCCATCTCTCAGATTCTATCACTCAGAAATACCACCACCTGTTTGACAATTACATTTTCAAATAGGTTCATTCCAGCATCTTTCATAACAGTGAAAAACTGGAAGTTTCCAAAGTAAAGACATGACTTGAAAAATAGATAGTACACTCATCCAATAGTTAGAGGGCGGTGAAAGCAAATGCCATAGTCTAGATATGTTGACACAGAAACACCAGATTGGCAACTAAAAAATGAACCCTGGGCTCCATAAGAGACCTCTGGAATGCTGGTCCAGCTTTTTATCTACTCTGATGGGTCATGTTTGGGTCATACCAGCTACAAAGTTAAGTGGTTGATGAGGGGGTTGGAGGAGGGTAGAATTTTCAAAACGGTATCTCTGTGATTTCCCCCCTTCCTCTCTCCCTTCTTTTTTTTTTCCTTTATTACCAGAGGAACGCATTTTAACTGCTACAACAAAAACACCACAGACTGGAAGATTTCTGTCCTAGTTTGCTTTCTGTGGCTACAGTAAAATACTGACCAAACCTACTTGGAGAGGGGGCTTATTTGGCTTCTATTTCCAAGGCACAGTCTATCTTTGAGGGAAATCAGGCAGGAACCCAAAGCAGGAATCTGGAAGCAGGAACTGAAACAGAGAACATAGAGGAATGCTGTCTACTAGTTTCCTTCCCCTGGCTTAGCTTGCTCAGTTATTTTTCTTATACAGCCCAGTTCCGCCTGCCCAGAGATGAAACTGCCCACAATGGGCTGGGCCAGCTATATCAATTAGCAATCAAGAACATTCCTCCACAGATAGGCTTACAGGTTAGTCTGTCAGAGACAATTCCTCGGTTGAGGTCCCCTATTTCCAGATGACTCTAGTTTGTGTCAGGTTGACAGAAGCGATCTAGCACAGCTTATAAACTACAGATGTTTACTTCTACAGACCCAGGGGCCAGGGAGCCCAAGGTTAAGCCCCAGCAGATCTGGTGAAGGCCACCTTCTGCACAGATGGCATTTTCTCACTATTTCCTTAGGTAGCAGAGGGGCGAAGGAGAGCTCTCTGGCTTGTTTCTTTACTCAGGGCACCAAATGCAACTATTAAAGTGTCTACTCCCATAATCTAATCAAGGTCCCACCTTTTACTACCATCACCTTGGAGGCCAGGACTCTAACATAAGGGTTTTCAGGAGGGTGTGGGTACTCAGACCCTAGCAATGCATTCTCTCTCTCTCCCTCCTTTCTTCCTTCATTATTAACATTTTTTCCAAAGTTTGCAGTGTCTAGTAAAATTAAAATAGATGCTCTGTGCTGAGGTTTAATTCAGTCTGGGTGTGCTATGTGTCAAGCTGTGACAGAGTAACCAAGTAAGACCCGTTTTATACGGAGGAAAATTGAAAACAAACAAAAACAGCAGCGATAACAGAATCCTACCTGGAGGTGAAGAGGAAGGTCACAGGAAAGGGGATCTGAGCCTCAGCCTGGGCTTGGACTGGCAGCAGGAATTCTCCAGGACCACAAGAGCCTAACACGAAGGGTGGAGCTTTGGGGGCTGCTGTGAGTCTGCAATTGGAAAACTTCTAGGTGCTCAGGCTGTGTATTCCATCTTGGGATGGAGCACAGAAGCACAATCTAAGAGACAACCCAAGCTTAGCTGTTCTTGGGGGCAGCCCTGAGAGGGAGAGAGACGGAGGGAAGCTTTTTTGTTTTCTCTGCCCTGCTGAGGGATGTGACAGGGACTTCATCTGCATGGGCAGCACTGAAGTGCACAGAGGAAACCCAGCCAGTAGAAATTCCTGGGAAACTAAGATGCAGCCCAAATAGGAAATGCCAGTGAGGAGAATTCACAGTGCCAAGTTCAAATTCCAGTGTTCAAGCTGTTCTTCAAAAAACTGTTGCTGCTTGTCAGCTATAGATGGAACATTCTAGCAAGAGGTAAGTGGGGGAATACTCACAGTCCACCACATGACCTTTCAGCTCTTTTGTGGTTAGCTTGATGTTTCCTCCAAGCTGATTAACTTTACTTTTCAAATCTTTGAATTGATGAGGCTCAGGAAGGAAGTTTGCTCAAGTAGCAAACTACTCAAGGTCACACAGCTAAGGGAGAAAGGATGATATCATATAAAAAAAAAAACCTTTGCTGCTGGAATAATATAGACCTATTTAAAAATCTTTATTTTATGATTCACTATTTGGGTGACTTTGGGTAGTTTATTTTCTTCTCCAAATTCACTTCCCCATCAGAAGAATGTGGGTAATTTTGTCTACCTCACAAAACTGTGGACGCATGGAATGAGATGATAGTGCCCTGCTTGTCACCCATCATGCCCTTCCCCTTTCCCCTTGAGTCTCAGTGACTCAGCCTCATTTCACACAGAGGGGTGGAAATGCATTCTATTAAAACCCTTCAATCTCCAGTGGCTCCTAGGGGTGGCCACACTACATAGTTCTGACCAGTGAAATGGGAGTGGGTATCTTTCTGAAAAGCAGCTAATCATAAAGAAGAAAACAAGCCTTGTTGGTAAAAAGCCTTTCTTCTCTTCTTCCTTCTTGGAACAGGGGTGGGGTGGGGGTTGGGATGTGCAGCAGCTGTTTTAACAAAAGGGATGAGCTGGATCTCTGAGGGGACTCTTGGGCTAGCCGATAAACTCCAGTAGGTTAGTTAATTTAAGCAATTTGTCGCTGACTGTGTTCCTGATTGAGGAAGTAATCAAAGTGTTGACCCATAATCATACCCAGGAGATAGTAGCAATTTAGTTAAAGAAGAAGAGAGGAATTTGAAGCTCTGTACTATATATATATAATAACATTCTTCGGCTCAACCGTCCCCACTCCATGAACAAAGCCCTCGTTCCCTTTTCTCTGTCTTGCTCCCTTCCAAACTCAGGCATATAGATAGACCTCTGTACCCACAGAGCAATGTCAGTTGAAATGACATAATGTTTATAAAATCCTGAGCATATACCTGGAACAAATGAGAAACAGTGGGACTTTCCTTTCTTCGAGGAGACTTTTAAGAAGCCTCTGCAAGCCAGTCTTGCTAATTGACAAACACATGTGGAAAGTTTAGAGGGTGTCATGACCTGCTCCTTCAGAAACCCAAGCAGCTTTAGCAAAGCAAGGGGATCCTCAGCTCCTGCCTGGAGCGCTGCACTCAGGTTTCCCAAGCCCCTCCTCTGTGAACTCACATGTGAGGTTTGTCCCTTCTGTTTCACCTCATCTGATTTTTAACCATTTTTTTCCCTCTCCCACTGAAGGAGAGAATGGCACCTTGTTTAGCTCTGACTGCCTGGCAACCCTGTACACAGAGGGTACTCAGTGGCCAAATGAGTACCAAATCAGTACCCGGGAGTCTATTACAAGGAAGTTTTAGCTTTTCTCTGAACATGGCTGAGCCTTGCCTTGTTCAGTAGCTTTGCACATGTGGATTCCCTTCTTCCATCTACGCCTTCAGGACTTCTTGCTCCTTGCACCCACCACAAACATCACTCCCTGCAGTTCTCTGAGGTGCTCACCCTTGTACTTTTAAGGCATGTTTTCCTTCTACCATAGCACGGAACTATTATGATTTGTCTATGAGCTCTCATGCCTGCCAGACTGTGGGCTCTTAAAATAATTTAATGATTTTTTTTGTCATTAGTTGTGCAAGAAATAGGTTCTAAAGCTTGGTAAGTACCCAGAAATTTGATGAAGCTAATTACAGAAAATTTAGGCTTTATTTGCTTTTTCCCTGACACTAGTCCTGTATCATCTGGTATAGACATCAGGTGTCTACTGAGGGCCAGGCATTTTTATTATCCACTCTGCCTTCAGAATAACTATGAAGCATGTCCTTGAAGAGCTGTGACTTCATCGTGAAGACATACTGCACTTAGCCAGAACCTTTAGGGATGGGTATAAGCTGAAGTAATGGTTGCTTTAAAGCTTACCTCTGCGGTGACTGACTCGTAATGCTTTACAGCCTTAAGAACTTTAGGGAGCCCCTTCCGTGTCTATACTATGACATCCAGTTCCCAAAGCACCAGAACCTGACCTAACCCAACCCAATCAGATTATTTCAAACAGAAATATGATCTTTGGAATGGGTTGCTGAAGAGAGTGGGAGTTCGTGGTGGTGAGTCATGTTTGTGGCAGTCCTCCAGGGGAAAAGGCCATGAAGAATGCTGAGATACAGAGTGGCCCTCAGTCCTCCTATCTTGGTAGTTCAGCACTTCCTTTGATTCTCTGAGACACCCCCAGCATCCTTCCAATAAATTTCCCCTTTGCTTAAGCTAGACAAAGTTTATTTCAGATGCTTACCAGTTTTTTTTTTAATATCATAACCAATATGTCTATGTCCCCAAAGAATTTCCTGTTTGGTCTTCTGAAATGGTCAGGATTTGTACCAACTGCAAGTGACAGAAAATCCACATTAACAGTGACTTTAAAATGACCAAGTTTATTTCTCACCGTTGAATACAGGCAACCAGAACTAGTTACTTGAACCATAGAGCTCCAAGTACCCTCTATAATGCTACTTCACCATGGGAGGTGACTTCTATCCTGTGGACCAAGATAGCTTCCATCCAACATTTCTTTAGTTCAGCTAGTAGCAAGAAGGAAAACACGTTTCACCCTTTGGAAATGTGTCTCCCAAACTGAACACAGCACCTTGAGCATGCTAAGGATATACCTTCAGGCTTTAATTGTTTTGTCTTATGTCACAGTTTTTCATGACTCACATAAAGAAATATGGCAGCACTGCTTTCAAGCTTGAGGAAACGGATCCAAAGCACATTGACAGACCTAAGAAGTTACCTAAGCTCATGACCCAGACAGAACCCTGGCTTGCAAGGAGTGTGACTGCTGATCTAAGAAAGAGATGGAAGGCAACTCAATAGACAGGAAATGATCTCAAATTCCCAGAGGAAGTACACAGGCCTAGGAAACCGGGAGCCCAGGATCACACACAAAGTAGACAATAGTCAATTCAAGCAGACACTGAGAAATGTTCTAACCCTCATAGAATACTCCCCTTGACCAATCAAAGCTTGGGTACTACTGATAACTTTTACCTTTTTCTTAATTCTCATAGCCAACCATATCTGTGTTCAGTTTATTTTGACTTAGAAATATCCCCAATTCATTTACGTCTTGTGATCTTTTTTCCAATAACATACCTCAAGCCCAAATAATCGCTTGCTTGCATTAATGTAGTTTCCTGTTGGACCATTATTTTTCCCCCTAGAGACCATTTTCCAAACTTCAACTTGCAGCACTTTTCTGAAACACCAACTAGATTATGTTATCCATTCAGGTACACTGTTCAATAGCTCTTTCATTCTCCTAGAGTTAAAATATTAACAAGACCTTGTATCACTCAGCAATCACACATCCTTTCAACTTCGCCTCATCCCATTCCTCTTCTACCCTCCTGACATTTCATTCCCTAAATTTCTTAATTACATAGGCTTTTAAACATGTGCCTTACTCCTAGCACCCCCTTTACTTCCCTCACATGATTCTTTCCTTCTTACTCATCCATTAAGGGTCTACCCAAAAGTCATCATCTCACACAGAAAGTCTCGATGCCCCTGTTCTTGTTTGGGTTAGAATGGGTATTTCCCTTTAGCTTCTAATACCTTTCAGGCTTATCTGCAGTGCATTGTTACTGTGATGCATGAATACTTCTACGACATATGCCTATTCACTCCAGTGTATGATTTTTTTAAGGACAAAGCTGTATCTCACGCTGTATGGGAACCTCAGTGCCTACCGCAGAAGCTGGCAAAGATGATGCTGAAGGCATGCCCATAGAAGAAATGAATGCCTGAACAAGGCCAGTTGTGTGTAGAGAACAATGAGATTATTGACTTTTTGTCTAGATGCCACACTTCTATTAATACAGGACTATTATACTTTTCAGATTTATTTTGTTCTTGTAGCATGCCTATCTCTTTCTTTGAGTCTTAAAGTTTACACTTTGCTAATATAACCTCTGAATTTCCATTTAAGGCCATGACAGACTCCAGACATATTCTTCATCATAAGCAAGAAGAACACTGGGAAAAATGGCAATAACAACGGTTTTCAGATATCACGCAGCAGACAGTACAGTATCATGATTCCTAAGAAAAACGAATTGAGGGAAGTCCCTTGGCCTTCTGCCTGGAACCTCATTCTGGACCATTGAAAGACATTTAACCATAACTGGTAAAGTAGAAAGTCTGCGTGGATCATCGGAGACATTCAGTAGAAATCTTAAAGGTTGGCATGCCTTGGCAGGGGATGAAGCCTAGAGTGAAGCTTTTCTAGGTTTGTAAAATATTCTTTAAAAAAAAATCTTGGAAAGATTAAGATGATCAGCAAGTAACTTATCTGCCTTCCTGAACAGAAGTTTAACCTTCTTTAAAAGACCATACATTACCTTTTTTGTTGCTGTGACTAAATACCTGTCAAAAGCAGTTTAAGGGAGTAAGATTTATTTTGGCTCATGGCTTGAAGGGGTACAGCGCATCATGATGGGGCTCCATGGCAGGGGAGCCTGTGTTTGGGATGTCTTACTGTCTCACATCTCCAGGGAACAGGAAATAGTGACAGGGCAGGAAGTGGGGCTGGCTATATACCTCAAGGCCCACCCCCCATAGGTGAGATATGTATTCTCAAGAAAGAATCTTGCAGAAAATGAAAATCTTTCAGAAAATTCTGAAAATGAATCTTTCAGAGATTGAAAAATATAAAATGTGTTAATAAAACTCTGGAAATATTAAGTGTACATTACATATTCTAAGAGAAATGTTAATAAACATGAATATTGTCATAATATTAATGTTGAAAATGAATTATATAGAAGAAAGTATTTCAAAAGTATGAAAAGCGTCTCAGTGACCTGTGGGACAATTTTCAGGGATCTAATAGAAGAGTTCCAGCAAGAGAGGCCAGATAAGCAGAAACTGAAGAATATTTGAGAATATAATGACTAAAGGTTCTCAAATGTGATGAAAGTATAAACTCAAAGAACAAAATAGCAAAGAAAACTTCACTAGGATGGTTAATATTGTCAACTTAAAAGGGTCTAGAATTACCTAGAAATTGCCTCAGAGCAAGCCTATGAAGGATTATCTAGATTAGCTTACCCTTGAGCAAGTCTGTGAGGAATTTTCTTAGTTAGGTTAGTGGAGGTGGGAAGACACATTAACTGTAGCAGGACCGCTCTGTGGGCTGGGCTTCTGGTCTGAAAAAAGAAGACAGCTGCGCTTAAGCATTATCCTTCTCTGCTTCCTGACTGTGGATACAAGGTGACCAGCCTAATGCCTGGGCTTCTGCACCATGGTGGTGGGCTGTACCCTGAGCCAAAAACACACTATTGCTCCTTTAAGTTGTCTGGTTGTCATATCACAGAAAAAGGACAAATAATTTATTCAGAAAATTGGAACTGAGAAGTGAGGTCATTGCTGCGATAAACCTGGCATATGGTTCTTAGGCCTTTGGAACTTACATCCAGAATACAGAAGAATTTGTGACTTTGGGCTAAAGAAGCCCTTGAACGCAGAGCTTAATGGGCCATTCTGGTGGAAGTTTAGAAGACTAGAGGACCAAAAGAAAGAGGGGCTGTGAAGGCCCTGTTCATGAAGTTTCAGAGGAGAACAAGAATTCTATCAGATAGTGAGCTAAAGGCCATTTGTTTGATATTCTGACAAAGAATCTTGCTGCATTTTGTTTTCATGGGTATTTATTCATTTATTTTATGTGTATGAGTGTTTTGCCTGCATGTATGTGTCATGCAATGTGCATGGAGGCCAAAAGAAGGTGTCAGACCCCCTAGAACTTGAGTTAAGGATGGTTCTTAGCTGCCATGTGGGTGCTAGGAACTGAACCTAGGTCTTCTGCCAGAGCAGCCAGTGCTCTTTACGACTGAATCATCTCTCCAGCCCCTGACTGCATTCTGCCTGTGTCCCAAAAACTTGAAACTAATTAAGGAGTAATGGGTTAATTTCTTTGGCAGAGGAAATTTCAAGTTAGCATAGCATTGAGGCTGTGACACGGCTACTGCTCAGTGCTCTTATTCATATCTAAAGAGAGAGAGAGAGAGAGAGAGAGAGAGAGAGAGCAAAAATATTGTTAAAAATGTGAAGTTCAGTATGGAAAGTTGTGTAAGCAAGTTTAAAATTGCAGACAAAGAGAGTATGAACAAAGCATCTGTAATTGTTAAAGAGAAACCTCACTCTCTTCATTGGGAGAGAAGAAAAGGTGCCCTGAAGTCAAGGCCCTACCCATCAAAGGTTCCAGTTGGTGAAAATGCAAAGTTATGTGAAAGGAGAAAGGGTAAACTAAGAATGGCACAGAAGGGCTTCCGTGCCCCAAAACATCTGCCTAAGAAAATGATACTGCAGATTCAAACACCAAAACATACAGAGGCCCCTACTGCTGTGGTCCAAAAAGGCCAGGCTCCATTCCAAACTGGCAGCATCCTCCATTAGTACTGTTTCTTCAAGCATGAAAGATAGAAGATTAAGGGAGGGGTCACAGTTTTGCTCTATAATTTCAGAGAGCTGCTAAGGGCAGGTGCTATGTGGTAGGGTCAGAGACTGAGCAGGGAGGCCATTTTGTGAAGCTGTGAAAGTCAAGCCTAAGTTGCAGTGGAGACCCAGGGATGTTGAAGATGCCAGAACCGTGGGCTGTCTGCTGAGAAAGACTGCAGGCACAGTCCAAGAATGAGGCCTTGTGGCAACCCAATTGGAGGAGTCCATCAGGAGCCCCCGACACCATACATGGGGCTATAGAATTTGATATTTTACTTGCTGGGTTTCAGTTTTGCTTTGGTCTGCAGTCAAGTGCTCTGCCCCTGAGCTATTCCCCAATTGCTTCGGTCTGATAATTCCTTGCTATGCTCCATTCTTTCCTTTTGGAATGTGAATGTTTATTCTGTGCTATTTATTTTTAACTACATAACTTGTTTTTGTTTTTAGGATCTCAAACAGGATATTGCCTTTAGTTTCAGATGAGACATGGACATTGGACTTTCAAAAATATTGGAACTAGTAAAAATGATGGAAACTTTTGATGTTGGACTGAATGCCTTTTGCCCAGGAAGAAGGTTATGATGAACACGATGTATTAGAGTGTCAGGTTGACAAAGGGTGGAGTTGTGTTAATCAATATCCAGAATCACCTAGGAAAGAAGCCTCTAGACATATCTTTGAGGGATTATCTTGATTAGGTTAACTGAGATGAAAAGATCTGTTCACTTTGGGGTCCCAGGCTAAACACAAAGGAGAATGCTGAACAGAAGCATTCATTGTGAGCTGTGAGTATAAAGTGACCAGGGACCTCCAGCTCCTACTGCCATGATGTCCTCATCATAGTGGACTCACCATGGAACACTGGGGAAGTGGGAATAGAAAGAATGTAAAAGCCAGAGGATGGGAAGGAGTGCTGCGAACTGCTGCCTCCAGGGCATGATAATGCTATTGCCATAATGGACTCACAGCAGTGGGAGTACTTGCTGGGAGACGGAGTATCACATTTCTTGGTGGTATAACTGTTGGTAAGCTGTCTTTGCTCAGGTAAATAGCCCTCCACCCATACTCATAACTCGAAACACAGTGGAGCACCAAAACTTTTAAGACATGAAAGTAGGGGACTTACTGGGGGAAGAGGGGGTTTGATGGCAGTGGGAGTGGATTAGAGAGGATAATGGGGGTAAGTATGATCAAAGTGCACTATGTATGAAATTTTGAGAGAATAAATTAAAGAAGCATATATTGACTTAGAACCTAGGAATCTGCCTCACCAAACCTCCCTGTCTTGAATTCTTACATAGTTTAAAACAGCATAAGTTCTTGTTTTGTGGTTAATAAATCCTCCAGATGGACTCTTGAGATATCCTTTAAGTTTGAGGTCTCTCATCCTTAATTTCAGAAGCTAACATTTGAATTTTGTGAACAGGACCATCTCTCAGTCTTCACCACCACAACCCACCCTTGGACCAGCAGTCTCCTGATACTATAGTGATGGGTGGGCATCGGACCACAGAATGCTGGGTATCAGCAAGCGCACAGGTTGTAGTTAAGGCTGGTGTCCAGGAAACGTCTTCTGATTCCACAAGGTAATGTTTTGTCTGTGGCTCCTTATAGCACAAAGTTCTGCCAAACAATAGCCATTGCTTTTAAGCTCAGATTTCTTACTGGGTGCTGCTTTTGCCACCAGAAATTTTACGACCAGCTCTTAAAATACCCTTGGCATCTTTACACTGGCAAGATCTAACTGAAATTGTTAGACAAATCTCTGGAAATGTGGTCTGGATATGTGCTGTATCTAGAGCAAAGAATTGCTAAAGGAAAACCTAGAAACAGCAAGTGACAAATCTTCCCCCGAGGCTCACAGATGTTCCCTACAGATGCAAGGAGCATGCCAAGAACTAAAATTCCTTTGGGGGGGGGCTCTTATCGGCAAGCTAAGGTAAAGAATCAACAGTAAACACGTGACTTGTGGTAAGCAAAGTTTTCAGAGCGCTTCCCTTAACCATTCTTTTTTATTTTTATTTTTTTAATTTTGTTTATTACTTTTATTTTATGTGTATGAGCGTTATGCCTGCATGTAGGTAAGTGCACCCACGTCATACAATGCCCGCGGAGGTTAGAAGAGGCTGTCGGATCCCCTGGAACTGGAGTTACGGACAGTTGTTAGCTGCCATGTGGGTGCTGGGATTCGAGCCCGGGTCTTTTGAACAGTCAGTGTTCTTAACCGCTGAGCCATCTCTCCAGCCCCCCCCGCCCCGTGCTTTGCCATTCTAATAACTGCTTGCAGCTCTTTTTTTTTTTTCTTCAGACCCATGGAACTGCTCTAATTCCTTCTTAGATTATGACTGTAGACTAAGGTTTAGCTTTATTAAACTCAGCCTTTAGCCATGAGTCAATAAGACCCTATCAGAGGCTCATTGTCCTCTACTAATGCCACCATACTCAGTAGGCTTTTTGTAGTTATGTAAATATAGTAGCATATTTGTAGGTTTCTAATGCAAATCGTGAGTCTTCCTGAGGACAGGTAATGCATGACTTTTTAGTAAATATGGAGCTGTTCTTTAAAGTGCCAATGGACAGTAGCCACTTAATATTTATTTAATGCTTCAATGGTCACACCACCTTGCATGTTAATGTTGGCATTCGGTCCTTAACAAGCACTATGAAGAGGTCTGTGGACATCTTCATTTTGCAAATGGGAATACTGAGACAGCTATGGAATCCAAGTTCAAAATGCCCATGCCTCACTGTGCTCTTTTTTCAACAAACATTCGCTGTGTCTGCTGTGGGCTGGGCACTGGGATAGGCTCTGGGCTGGCCGTGACTACTGCAAAGCCTCCATGGAGCTAACATTTTATTTCCCATCTATCATGTGAATTTGTGTTGCTCTCCCTAACCAATCTCTTTTAAACTGCTTCTGATTGAAGTTCTTAGTTCACACGGCTAAATAATCCCCAGAAAGAGTGCAATAATTCACATTCCTGAAAATGTCTGTTTTCTCAGACCCTTACCAAAGGCAAATACTCTTTCACTCTCGCTTTTTAACCCTTGCTTACTTGATGGATACTGTATTCATATAGACCTATGATAACAATTACCACCTTAGTTTTATTTATAAACAATGAACTGTAGTGATTTAAAACAGTTAAAGAAGAGTAAGTTTGCTTTTAAAATGCTCCATATCCTTTCATACTTAAAAAAAAGAAAGAAAGAAATCAATACTTCCTTCTAAGTGCCTATGAATATCTTTATTGGGGTATCTATTTTTTTCTGAAAAATATACCTGATATTAAAGTTGCTTATTGACATCTCTGACTCTCAACAGAGCAGCCCCTCTTCATCCCTAGCACTGTGACCATGGTGCTTGTAAACAATTAGCTTTGGGAGGTAGTAACTTGCTCATCCCTGAAACAACAGCGCAGCATTACAGCTGGTTCATTTTGGAGCCTTCCTTATGGAAGACTTGTTAGGAGTCTTCCTTCCTTAATTAGGTGCACACATGTGAAGTGTGTGCTTTCCATAGTCTTCTGACTGAAGAAGTGAGGTTAGTCACAACTTCTGGCCAGACCTGTTGAGAGGACTAAATAGATCGAGGCACACAAAGTACTTAGAAGTGTGCCTGGCACAGAAATGCCCTCAATAAATACCAAGTGAAGGAAAGGATAGTCAATGAGTCATAGCCTTAGATGCTGCAGGTTCTTAAACTTTAGTGTGCATAGGATTGATCAGGAATTCATCAAAATATAGACCCCTGGCCTTACTTTCAAACATGTGACTCATGATGTCTGGGAAGGAAGTGGTCCAGATTCTTTTCACGACTTACTGGTCAACCCGTGAGTTCTATGGTACCAGGAAAATATGGCTTTCTTCTCTACCTGCACCTATCTACCCAGTCTCTGCTCAAGGAGGTGACTGGATTTTTAGCCTTGTTGTTGCTGGTCCTTAAATACAAAGTCAACAGAACTAAGGAATCTGAAATGTACCTAGAGCCTCACTCCTCCCCAGATAAAAATTTCAAAACTAAAGCTACCACGTTGTCCTGGGCAGAAGTTCCCCAAGACGCAGTTCTCCATCTTTCCCTCGGCAGCCAAAATGTGGTTTACTATGTGCCAGTTGCCTTACCCAATTTTATCATCATAATATCTCCATAAGGGAGGAAACAAGCTCGGGAGTTTATTACTCGTCTGAAGTCACAGCAAACAGGTAACAGTGTAGGGTGCAATCCAGGCATGAGCATTGCCAAACCTGAGCACCCCCCACCTCTCTGCAGCTCAGCAATGGGGTGGAGGAGAGCAAGGGAGGGACATCTCTTTTGGCCTGTTGGGACAGGTAAGCTTCAGGATCTGGGGTGTGTGTGTGTGTGTGTGTGTGTGTGTGTGTGTGTACATGTGCATGCATGCATGCCTCTGTGTGTTGCCAGTAAATTCCTGTTTATAAGTCATTACACAAAACAGGAGATTTTTTTTCCCCCTGTACACAGATACTATAAATATAGGATATTAAGTCACCCTGACTTCATCCTTAACCCATCAGTCCCTGCTAGTTTGCATGCTACACATGTATAGCATGACTCAAAGGACCCTCAGGCAGAGGGTGGGTTAAAAACCAATCAGACAATAATAATTTTCATAAATGGGAACTCCCTGTCTTCTCAGTTGTCTATTCAGCTAATCATAAGTCATGGATTTCCTTTTTAGGGTAATATTTACCATAGACCACGGCTGGTTCTAGGGAATACGTAATACTCATTTATCTGATGGGAAACATGTTCTTAAAACATTGCCTAATGATAGATTTACCTGATAAATAATCCTTTGGATTAAATAAAAATGTTGAGGAAAAATTTGGGCTGGATGGTGGGTAACAGAAAGGTGAATAGGAATAAGCCATGGTTTGAAGGAAACTGAAGGTGTTTGTCTAGAGTGGCGTGCTGAAAAATTCCTCCTGTAATGAGAACAGAGCAGGGAGAGGGAGAGACACAATGAAAAAGAAAAGAAGGGGTGAGGATGAGCACAGGAAAAGTTAATGATAAACACCTTCATTGCAGTGTTAGAACATGCAGGCTTTTGATTTCCCATGTTGCCCATTTCTCCTGGGAACTCTGGCTCACTCCTACTGCCCACCCCCCATCTCTCAGATTCCAGTCAGAGGAGTTAGGCTGTTGGGGGCACTAGCTTTGTGGGATCCATTGCTCCTTGCTCCTCATTTAGACTCTAAAAGCTTCATTCATCTGGGCCTCAGATTCTTCCTCCATGAAGTGGAGATAGTGGTGGTTTTGGTCATCTTGCAGGTTGTTTAGGGAATTAAAGTAGTTGATATTAAAAGTGCTTAGAACAGTGTATTACATTGTAAAGTCAACATGTCCTGATATTGTTCAATTCAGCTGAGAAATCTGGGGTCAGCAGGAACATCACCTGTCAGAGGTCCTAGAACTAACAAGTGATGGAGCTTGAATTTGAATCCCAGCCCATGTGCCATCAATCTCTTTGTTTTGGTTGGTGGGAGCAATAATGGTGAACCATAGGACATAATACAGAACATGTTTTCCTAAAGTGCATGAAACCAGTATCTATTATTTGAATACACCAACTTGAAGTTGATGGGTCATTTTAAAACCAGAAAAGACAATCCAAGAACTATGGATCATTTCATTCAAAGTGTACAAACTGTTGACCAAGGGCCCTCTCATTTCTTATAGGGATGATTCATTTGGCCTGCACAGTATTGGCTGGTATTGAAAGGTTTGCACTACTTGAAATGTTTCAATATTGGGAGATTTCATTTTTTAAAGAAATACTTATTATTTATTTATTTATTTATTTATTTATTTATATTGAGATAGGGTCTTACTATATAGCCGTGGCCAGCCTGGAACTCACTATGTGGACCAGCTGGCCTTGAACTCACAGAAATATGCCTTATTCTGCCTTGCAAGTACTGAGATTAAAGGCATGCACTATCACACCCAGCTCAGGCTTTTTTAAAGATTTATTTTTGTTTCTATTTATGCATATATGCATGTGTCTATGTGAATATATGCTGTGTGTGCGGGTGCCTATAGAGGTCCAAAGAAGGTGTCAGATCCCCTGGAGCTGGAGTTTCAGGTGGTTGTAGGCCACCCCAAAATGGATGTTAGGAACCACTGAACAATCTCTCCAGCCCTAAAAACCCTTCTATAGAATGGTTGGATCAGTGTCCCAACACTTACCTGTCAAACGTGTTCAGTGGTCTTTGAGTGTATGCTTACCATGCCAGACTATATTTTTGTATCTGGCCCACTTCACACATTTATGTTCCCAAGATAGTCCACTGAATATGGGTCAGTAGAACCATGCCCCTTGAACTTCCAACTCTACTTATCTCAATGAAACTTCTCAACGGATAGAGTTTGATCATTCCCCAGGCTGCCTCCATCTGGTACACAACTTCTCACAGCATGGGACACTGGGTATGGTAAGGCCAGCACAAAGTACTGAAGGACACTTGAGTCACCTTTTGGGAACCTATTGGACCAGCCCCATCAGGTTGATCTTTATTACCTTTGTACAGCTCTCCTAAGCTCACATTGTCTCAACGTTGGTCACTGAAACATTCCTTACTTAGGTTCTCCAGCCACAAGGTCACTTCATCTTGCTGCTCCCAGAAATCACAGGAGGCTTCCCCTCTACTGCATAATCAATCCATCTTGTTCAACTGCTGCTAAGCTCACACAAATATTCGCTTACCCTCCACAGTGTGTACAGTGATCCACACAAAGGCTCCTCCAGGAGCTGTAAGTGAAACTATGCAGATGATGCGTTCCCAAGAGCAGGTGATGCTAACTTTGCCTTGAGTGCCAGTTACTGCCTTCCATCTTTGTGAGTTCTTCATGAGGTACGTATTAGCCTCTTCATTTCAGGAAAACTAAGGCTGAGCATGGTCAAAATACTGCCCAATGATAACTCTAATTCCAAAGCTCTATTCTCTTTATTGCCTTGGAAATATGAAAACTCAGTTCTGTGCTGCAGAAGAAAGAACCCAGTGAATTCTCTGGAGAGCAGAGGTTATTCAAAGGAGGAAGATGCTATTTGACTGACCAGGTCAGGAAGGCTGCATAAAGGAGGTGAATTGGGACAGATTCTGGAACATGGAGAGGGAATTTAGAATAAAGAAATGACATATGGGGGACGCAGTGCCAAAGGTGGGAAATCTTGGTGTATGTCATTAGCTTGACTGGCATGGGACAGCTTCACAGGATGAAGAGAAAGAAAAGGGCAAACTATTGGGCAACTTGAATGCTTGCCCTGAGGAGTTTGTACTGAGAGGCTCTGGGAGCCCTGGAGGAGGCGAGCAGTAGTGACTCACACCATGAGCTGCAGAAAGAACCACTCCCCTCATCTTCCTGTCTCCTCCTCTTCCTTTTCTTGAATCTTCTGGCCATAAATGACTTCGGTGTCAGGTGCAAGGAGGCAACCCCAGGTAGAGGAAAGCGCATGGGCTTTGGAAGGTGCCTCTAGCTGGAGCATTGTGAATTTAGCTGAGCCACGAGGGCACATGCAGTGTCACCTCAGAAGGGCAACAACTGTCTCACATGGAGGAACCAGGGAGAGTAGTGATGGAGCTAGATAGAACTTGACATGCACATCTGGGAGCAGTGAGTAATGAACTCTCCCTGAAATGGAAGGTCCATGGGGGAAGCCAGGTGTGAACTAGGTATGAAGTGCAAACATAGATATTTGGCACATGTCAAACTAAGTATCCCTGTCTAAGTCTGAAACACAGTGGAAGGATTTTGAGCAAGGGAGTGAAATTGAAGGCTTGGACAATAGTCCACAGCAGGGATCAAGAATGAAGGAGAGGCTTGAGACAGACCCCAAATGAGAGCAGACCCCAACACTATAGGTGAGCAATGCTGAGTAACAGTAGCAGTGTGAGCAGAGCAGCAGCAGGAACAGTGAGGCCCAGCTGTGAAGAAGACACCATCATCGTCATAGTTTTCCTGAGCACTGTCTTGAGTTCTTCATTTTCATCCATCTCTTTTTACCTCCCTTCCTTCTCTTTCTCCTTCCTTATTTGGTTCAAATTTCTTTTTAACTCTGTAAGAATCAGAATTGGATACTGCTTGAAACAATAGAGCACACTTCTAGAGAGTCAGCTTCTTTCTCTGCCATACCATACAGAACACGTTCAGTACTTGTTCTTTGAGGGTCAAAGCCAGACTCTTCTACCTTGCGGCTCTACCACACTCAGTTCATAGCTCCTGCTTCATACTGCCTGACAGCTGCTCGGGCGTCAACCATTGTATCTGTTTTCAGGCAGCAGATGGCATAGGGAGGAGTGGGGGAAGATAGAAACTCTCCACTCCGAGGACGTTCCTGGGGTTTCCATACTCTAGTCCTTCTGATCCCAATCAGACAGATCATGTCACATTGACTTATCTAGGGTGGGGAGACGTGTGCTGAGGAATGAGGGCTTTACTTTAGCTTGCTATTTGCCACAACTGAGACCTGCTAGTGTGGCAAAGAGAATGTTTCTTCCTCAGTAATCTTCCTCTCTGAGGGTCATGCAAAGGAAGTCAATTACATCTCTGGTGAAGCTGTGGTCTGCAAACATTTCCTTACCCCTGACTAGAGAGTTCTATGCTTGGTACTCGGGAGGTGGGTGTGGCATTTACTGCCAAGGTGCTCACATGTCCCTTGACTATGGAATCTCAAAACCGGAAGGGGTTATAGGCATCCCATAGCCCAGGCCTCGATTCTCCAGTGGAGATGATCTGCCTTCAACTTCAAGTCGTGCATCCCGTGTGCTGGTGGTTACTGCCACAGACAGCTTATTCTGTGAGTCAGCCACTGTCATTTCTTTATTCACATACCAGTAGCTTCTCCTCAACAGGGAACAGGTCTTACTCTTCTTTCTACAAAATGGAAGAATACATGTTTTTCTACATTTGCTGTGTGAAGGAGCTCTCACACTCTCCTGTCCATGTCTATTCTGGCTCTCTCAGCTATTCTCCTTGTTTCTAGAGGGGGTGGGCCATATGGGTACGCTCATATACTTGGGATTTGTTAGCCTTGGCTCTAACATGCACTCACTGGCTGTGTGACTTTGAGTGACTGACTAGCTTGAACCCTGAGACTGCATTTCCCTATGAGTAAAATGAAACTAATCTCTACTGCGTGAGGTTCCTGTGATGTTTAAATGAGCTAATGAATGTGAGACAGTCTGACACCAAATACAGCAGTTATTATCACTGAGAAGATATACTTGTAATTATTAATAATAAAACATCCCTGGTCCCTCTTCTCTTTTGGATAAATTGTGATAAGATATTAGATAAAAGAGAAGAGACTCTTAACACGTGTAGGAAAAATTACAAAGTAAGACCTCCTGCTGCGACAGGGAGTCTCAAGTTTTCCTCCCTCTACCATTTTCACCGAGTTACTGTTGCTACACATGGAGCACCATCCCCTGGGACCTCCAGCTTGCTGTCTCTAGCTGCAGTGCCTCCTGGGAAAGTCCATCTATTACAGGGGTGATTGACACTCATTGGCCTTCTGTTGTTAGCAGAAACAAATAGAATGCGAATAAACAAATACTGGAGAACTCTAAGATCACCTGCATTGCACAGACTCAGAAAACTGGGGGTTCTAAGTATTACCTTCCCACCCACAGCTGGGTGGCCAGGGGCAAGTCACAGTGGCCCCTGGGCCTTGGATTGTGATAGCCTGTTCAGCAGCTGTATCTTAAGACCAAAGAGAAATGATTGGCTGCTGCCTGGATTCCCCTGAAATCTCTGTCTTCCAACTAAGTCTGGTCCAGGTGGGACTGGCATCTGGGTGGAGGCTGGGTGCATGCCCAGACAGCCCTGCATGGTCTATGAGCCAAGCATAGGCTGCCTGCTGCCAGGGTGGGATTGTTCCTGTGATTTGGCAACATCCAACAAGCATGTCCCATCAGGGCTGAGCTAAAAATAGGTCTTATTTTAGGGCCCAGAAAAACCAGCAGCCTAGCACACAGGTAAAACCAAGCTGCCTCCTCCCCGCCCCCAAGGGCACAACAGCTAAAGAGAAGAGTTTGGCTAACTTTCCCACAATTCACCTCTTTTCCCACTTCTACGCCCTGTCCTGACTCCCTCCCATAACCAATGAGTGTCTCCTCCTCTTCCTCCCTCATCCCTCCTCCTTCCCCGCTTTCTCCTCCTGTTCCTTACCTCTTCACCCCAGATAAACTGCCTTTGCATTCGCAGAGGTACTGAATATGGGCATGGTATACTGGGTTCATACCCTGGCTCTAGTATTTTCCAGCTGTTTAATCCAAGAGCAAGTGACGCTGTGGTTCTCAATTGCTTTACCAATACAGTGGTGTTAAGTATCTGCGCTTCTGATCCTCCTGTGCCATGAGTACTAAAAGCAGCAAGTGCTGGAGCAATGGTTCTAGAAAATTGTCCTGTATCATAATCATTTGGGTGGATGGTGTTTGCTAAAGCAGGGAAAGCTGGGCCTCCCCACTGTTTCTGATTGGGTAGGTCTGGAGAGCACTGCTTCCAAAGGAATCCCCAGGAAGTGCTGATGCTAGTGTCTAGGGACCACATGGTAAGGACTTGGAAAGAAGGTCAGGGTGTGACTTGTGGGTCAGACAGGAAGGGTCCAAATCTGGGCCCTTGCTCCTTCCATCAGAGTGACTTTGAACAAATTATTTTCTCAACCATATTTAGAAAACAAGGGAATAATATTTCTTACTTTATAGTGTTGATGGGAGGATTAAGTGAGTTAATTCGTATAAAAGCACTTTAAACAGCATCTGGCAAGAGCAAGCACTGAATAAACATTAGCTTTTATTAGTATCAGAGAGTCTGCACAGAACATGAGTTCAATGCGTGTTCGTTCCTCCCTCCCTGTAGTTGCTGTCAGCTCCACTTATGTTTCTTTATACCACCCATTCCAGAGTCTTTGTGAAAGGGGAGATCTGGGACCACTGAAGAGTGAAGATTAAAATTTAAAATCTAAGGGGTCACAGGAGACCCTGAGACAGGTACGGGCTACTGTCCAAAGAGATCCAGGCTGGATGGGTAGAACTAAAATTAGACCCAGGTTTCCTGTCTTTAGTCCCTGGAGGCAGACTGACTGTTCCCAAGAGCGCTAAAGGAACAACCTGCCCCCGCCCTGCCCTAGGCTACTGCCAGCTTTTGGATTGTTTCTGCCTTGGTTGTTTATGACTGTAGAGACACAGCTGTAAACATCCAACATCTGAGCATAAATGACCTTTTTTTTGGATTATTTTTCCCTTGCCCTAACGTCCTCCAAGCAGAATTACTGGCTCAAAAAGTACAGACGGTGTCACAGCTAAGAGAAACCTAGATTTCCTTGATTCTTCCAGGAGTAGCTTCTTATTTTTGCAGGGGTTTAAAAGGGCTGGCCCTGCTGGTGTTGGAAGCAAACCAGGGAGTAGGAAGTTAAGGCTGAATCTTCAAGTCAGCAGGGAAACTGCTGTGGTCAAGAGGCGGCAGCTCCAGGCCAGGAGTGAGATGCCTGACTGCTGGCAGTCATTTCCCTGAGCAATGGAGTTTACTTAGATCAATGCTTCTCACACATCACCGAGTAGGAATTGCCTGGAAACCTTGTAAATATGCAGCTCTGACTTACCTGGCCTAGGGTATGGCCCAAGATCCTGCGTTTCTAGCAAGTTCTTATACTGTTGATTCTGCTGATTGTGGGCTGGTACTTTCAACAAGCAAGAATGTAGACCGCTCCTCCATCTAAGGCACCATTCCCCAGCCTTTTGTAATTGCAGCTCCAAAGAGTTCCCTTACCAGGCTGGCTTAGGAAGCTTTGTTCTAAGGGGCTCTGCGTGTATGACTGCCCCAGGGCTTATTGCCTTACTGTTCCCTGGCACTC